TCCCTGGACCCCCTGCTCACCCCTCTACCACCTCCTTCGTCTGTTCACTCCCTGCCCACCCATCTACCCCTTCACCTGGAGCTCTACCCATAACCCTACCCAGCCAGCCATCTGCCACCCACCTGCCTACTCACCCTTTACCCCACCCTGTTCTCATTCACTCTCCCGTTCACTCAGGCTCCGGTTCACCTACTCACCCACGCAACCCATCCATTTGTCTACCCCACTCACCAATTAATCCATCCATCCATCCATCCACCCACCCATCTATCCACCGACCGAGCCACCCATCCCCTTGGCCACCCACCCACCAATCCGTCCATCCAGCCAGCCAGCCACCCACTCACCGATCCATTCACCCACCATCCACCCATCCATCCATCCATCCATCCATGCATTCATCCATCCACCCACCCATCCATCCATCCGACCAACTGCCTGTTTATCCATCTACCAATCCATCCATCCCCCTACCTGACCATTTGCCCATCCATCCATCCATCCATCCATCCACCCATTCACCCACTCACCCATCCATCCATCCATCCATCCATCCATCCATCCATCCATCCATCCATCCATCCAACCATCCAACCAACTGCTTATTTATCCATCTACCAGTCCGTGCATCTACTACCTGCCCATTTGCCACTCTATCTACCTAAATATCCACTCATTCACCCACCATCTTCCTGTCTCCCCCCCCCCCGACGTCTGCCCTTATCTTTAGCCTGGCTACATGGATAGGTGGATGAATCAATGGGCGGGTGGGATGGCGGAGTCAGTAGGGAGATGTAGGTGGCGAAGGACAGACAAGCGGATGGTGGATGACGGTAGGGATGGGTAGTGGAGAGGTGGGGGGATGAACGCCTTGGTAGGTGGGGAGTGGTTGGGTGGAGGATGATGGACGGGTTAGCGAACGGGTGGCTGAGCTGACCACCCCTGTTGACACATGCATCCACCCAGACAGTTCTCTGTTACCTTGAGGTGTGTGAGCTCGACACTCTGTAGGTCAAACGCGACTGGATGTTGGCAGTTTCACACTGTGCAACATCATGCTTGCTCACCCCTTCATTTGCTCATCATCTGCTGGTCCACCTCTCCATTGTCACTCCCCATCCACCCCAAAACCAGATCCCCGATAATCGGATTCATCCATTGAGCTCCAGCCCGCCACTTCCTCGGTCACCTCCGTCAACAGGGTCCCCCAGCCGCCCAGCCATTCCCCAACATCCCGCCCCTCACCCGCCACCCTCCGCAGCTCGTTGGCCTTGCACGGACCCATCCCCTGAGGGTCTTCCCCTCACTCCCTGCTCCGTCCCGTCGCGCAAATGGCCATCCGTCCCCATGCTCACCGCCCATCTGTCCTCCCTTTCCGTCCTTCCCTCCCTTCCTCCAAAGCTCTGTTCGTGCACTCACCCTCTCTCTCCCTCCTCAAACATCTTCTGAGGCTACCGTCTCCCAGACCGCGGGCGGAGAGCTGGGGACAGAGGGCAGTGTGACTGGGTCCTTGGTGTGGAGTCGCTCACTGCCTTGGGAAGATGAGTCTGATCCAACACATGGTCATATACCGTGACTATTTAGTGTGATCAGAGAGAGGGTCCCACGGGGGACTGCGAGAACAACTCACTGTCCTGGAGGACAGAGCATGTCTCAGGGAGAAGGGAACTTTGACGCTGGGTCTTATAGGACAAAGAGGAGTCCATCAGAAGGAGAAGGTGGGGAGAGGTCACGAAGGCAGGGAAACAGCTTGGGTGTGGTGGCTCGTGCCTGTAATCCCAGCACTTTGGGAGGCCGAGGTGGGAGGATTGCTTGAGGCCAGGAGTTTGAGACCAGCCTGGGCAACATAACAAGAACCCCATCTCTAAAAAAATACAAAAATTAGCTGGGTGTGGTGGTGTGCACCTGTAGTCCCAACTACTCAGGAGGCTGGGGCGGGAAGATCGCCTGAGCCCGGGAGGTCAGGGCTGCGCTGAGCTATGATCATGCCACTGCACTCCCTCCTGGGCAACTGAGTGAGACCCCATCTCTATTAGAAAAAAAAAAGCAAGAAAACAGTTTGTGCAGAGGCTAGGAGGCAGAAAAGAGCCTGGAGTGATGAGGGAAAGGCCGGCGGCTTGGCTGGGTGGGTGCCGGGGTGAAACGGGAGTAGATGGGACTGTGGTTGCCAGCTAAGGAGCTGGGGCTTCCCCCCAAGGGAAGGGGGCAGCCATGGCAGAGTTTTAAACTGGGAACGGAGGGCATCTGATGTTGGGGTCAGGACTGTCGTGTAGGGAACAGACTGGAAGCCGGGAGGCCCTGGGAGGCTGGGACGCTGCGAGCTAGTGGAGGAGGCGGAGGGAGAGCCTCACCCCCTCGCTCCCTGGTGGCCACGGCCCGCCCCCACGCCCTCAGGGAGGTGGTTGAAGAGGAGAAGAAGAAGAAGAAAGATGAAGATGACCTGGGCATCCCCCCCGAGGTTTGGGAGCTCCTGAAGGGAGCCAAGAAGAGTGAGTATGAGAAGATCGCCTTTCAGTACGGCATCACCGACCTCCGGGGCATGCTGAAGCGCCTCAAGAAGGCCAAGGTCGAGGTCAAGAAGAGCGCAGGTCAGCTTGGGGCCCGGGGCCCAGGGCGGGTGGGCCCCGGGCCCCGCCCTACCCACAGGAACCCCCGGTGCCGTGGGCATCTGGGTGCGGCCCCTGGGCCCGTCTCTTGGGGTTTCCAGTCTGGGGAGTCTTTGGGCCTTGTTCTCGAGGGTCTGTGTGTTCATAGAAGGCCCCTTGACCTTGACCTTGGAGAGCCAATGGTCTGGGAGGGGAGTCTTGGCACCTCTGGGGCCGAGCAGGGGAGCCAGGACCTCTCACCCCTGCCCCCTTGGTCTCCAGCCTTCACGAAGAAGCTGGACCCCGCCTACCAGGTGGACAGAGGCAACAAGGCCAAGTTGGTGGTGGAGATCAGCGACCCAGACCTGCCCCTCAAGTGGTACAAGAACGGCCAAGAGATCAAGCCGAGCAGCAAGTATGTGTGACAGTCGCTGCTTGGGGGAGACTGCCCAGAGATAAGGCCAGTCACTTCACCCAGAAGGGGCACACCTACCCCTACATGAAAAGTACACATGCCTCACTAGAAAAATAGGTAATACCAGCCTGGGCAACATAGCAAGACTCTTTCTCTACAAAAATAAGCCAGGTGTGTGGTGGTGTGTGCCTGTAGTCCCAGCTATTCGGGAGGCTGAGGCAGGAGGATGGCCCGAGCCCAGGAGCTCGAGGTTGCAGTGAGCTGTGAGTGTGCCACTGCACTCCAGCCTGGGTGACAGAGTGAGACCTCATCTCAAAAAAAAAGAAAGGAAAAATAGACAAGAGCAAGAACAGGAATTCAGCCCAAATGACCACCAATAAGCTGTGCTGTACACATTCAACCTTGCTAATAATAATAATAATAGAAACAACAATTTTTATGCTATCCAAATGGGCAAAATCATGAGCCAGGTGCAGTGGCTCATGCCTGTAATCCCAGAACTTTGGGAGGTGGAGGCGAATGAATTGCCTGAGTCCAGGGGTTTGAGACCAGCCTGAACAACTTGGCAAGACCTCATTTCTACAATACATAAAAAAAGTTAGCTGGACATGGTGGCACACGTCTGTAGTTCTGACTACTTGGAAGGCTGAGGTGGAAGGATTACCTGAGCCCAGCAGGTCGAGGTTGCGGTGGCCGTGAGCATGCCACGGCACTCCAGCCTGGGTGCAGAGGAAGCCTCTGATTAAAAAAAAAAAAAAAAAGCAGAAAGCCCCCCCCAAAAGAAACAAATGGTCAAAACTTTACAAAATCATAACATCCAGTGCTGGAGAAGATATAGGGAAATGAGCACACCAATGTCACTGGTGGGAACATAAATTGGTGAGTTTCCCAAAGAGAAATGTATGAAAGTCTTTAGGTTGTGCAATTCCGGGTACTTATTACAAAAGAATCATCATGACAATGCATATTTAACTACAAGGATGTTCACTGAAACATTTGTTGTCGTAGCAAAAAGTGGGACGCAATCAAAATGTAAAGTTTCATACAAAGGTGTTGTGCAGCCATTAAGCGTTTTCTAGAATGTACATCATCACAGGAGTCTGTTCAAGGTTATCCTATTCAGGAGTATATTATCTACGTCTTCGCAAAATGTTAATGAACATATGTAGAAACAAAAAGATTGGAAAGACAGAGGCCAAAATATTGGCAGCCATCATCTTTTGGTGGGACAGTTACGGAAGGGTTTAAAACAATTTTTCTTTAGCTGGGTGCAATGGCATGTGCCTGTAATCCCAGCTACTTGTGAGGCCAAGGTGGGAAGATTGCTTGAGCCCAGGAGTTCAAATCCAGCCTGGGCAATATCACAAGATCTCATCTCTACAAAAAATAGGAAAATTAGGCGGGCATGTTGGCACACACCTGTAGTCCCAGCTACTCAAGAAGTTGAGGCAGAAGGATCATTTGAGCATAGGAGGTCGAATTAAGCCTGGGCAACATAGCAGGACTCCGTTTCTTTAAAAAAAAATTTTCCCCCTTGGCTGTGTTTTTCTAAATTTCCCATAATGAGCATTTTTTATAAGATAGAAAGTTATTTACTTAAGGCACAGGTTAAGTTGTTATGACAGAGAGTCCCCAAAACACGTGTGAGTTAGGGAGCTATGTAGGCCGGTTGCAGTGGCTCTCGCCTGTAATCCCAGCACTTTGGGAGGTGGAGGCGAGAGGATTGCCTGAGCTCGGGGGTTCAAGAACAGCCTGGGCAACTTGGCAAGACCCGGTCTCTACAATACATTTTAAAAATGAGCTGGGCCTTGTGGTGTGCACCTGTGGTTCCAGCTACTTAGAAGGCTGAGGCGGAAGGATCACCTGAGCCTGGTAGGTCAAGGCTTCAGTGGCCATGAGCATGCCACTGCACTCCAGCCTATGTGACAGAGTGAGACTCCAAGTTAGAAAAAAAAAAGAGAGAGAAATGTGTATTTCCAGCCGAGGGAGGCTGGTGCACCAGTTTTCAACTCTGAGAGATTTATTTGGGAACGCAAGTTTTGTCCATACTGTTAGCTATGCCGTGTGCCCTGGCATTGTCCTCATCTGTACAGTTAAAGTGGGGTCATAGGCACAGCTGTGTTCTGGTTGACAGGAAGGGAATGGGACAGAGAGCTAAAGCCAGCTGCTCTTCTCGGAGTTGGAGGTGACCTGAGTGGCACATGTCACTTTCATCTTCCAGGGCCCAAACTCAGACCTAGCTGCAAAGGGGGCTGGGAAATGCAGTTCCCTGGATGGGCAGCCCTGTGCCGCTGCTGAAAGAGGGAGAGGGCGGAGGTCAGGGGGCTCTGGCACTTCCGCCGTGGTCATTTAAATAGAAACTGGACCCTCAGTCCCTCCCCCACAACTTGGCCCTAGGAGGGGGCACCTTGCCCTGAGGACACGGGTGAACGAATCTAGCCCAGGGCCAGGGGATGCTCCGTGCCAGGTTTGAGGGGAGCCTTTTGCACCAGGTATGTGTTTGAGAATGTTGGGAAGAAGCGAATTCTCATCATCAACAAGTGCACGCTGGCAGATGATGCCCCCTACGAGGTTGCTGTCAAGGATGAGAAGTGTTCCACCGAGCTCTTTGTCAAAGGTGAGGCGGAGACTCGTGCCTGAACATGGGAAGGGGGCGGAGCACTGGAGGGGGCCCTGAAGCCATGGACCTCTTCTGCCCCTGTCCCCCACAGAACCTGCAGTCCTGATTGTCACACCCCTCGAGGACCAGCAGGTGTTTGTGGGCGACCGGGTGGAGATGTCGGTGGAGGTGTCAGAAGACGGTGCCCAGGTCATGTGGTAGGTGGCCCAGATCCCTCATCGCCATACAGGTGCCCACAGCTTATTTGCCTCCTCCCTCATCTTTATGGGCCCTCCTGTGACTTCTCTTGGAGAGTTCTACCTTGACTCAGTAGTTACCAGGAGACCTGAGCCTTTTTCTATAAATCCCGACCTTCTGCATGACTTCTTTCTGGAACTTCTGACTTCTACCCATTCCCTATTCCATGTTATTTTCCTGATCCCTGCTGTTTCCTTAAATATTTACTCATCCAAGCAATCATCTTTCCTTTGGTCCACCTTCCATGTGTCCACTCATCCATCCATCCAGTCAATCAACATCCATCCGCTTATACATCCATCCCATTGATTCATCCATCCATCCATCCATCCATACAGGCCTCCATCCATCCAGGCATCCCATTGATTCATCCACTTGGGCACTCCACCCATCCATCCATTCCATTGATTCATCCACCCATCCACTCATCCAGCATCCATTCATCTCATGGATCCATCCATTTATTCATTGATTCATTCATCCATCCCATTGATTCATCCATCTGTCCATCCATCCACTTAGCCTTCCATCCATCCATCCATCCACCCATCCCATTCCATTGGTTCATCCACCCATTCACGCATCCATCCAACCATTCATTCACTCATCCACTCATCCATCATCCATTCGTCTTGTTGATCCATCCATCCATTCATTAATTCATCCATCCCATTGATTCATCCATCAGTTTACTCGTCCATCCATCCATTCCATTGATTCATTCATCTGTCCATCCATCCACTCAACCATCCACTCATCCATCCATCCATCCCATTCCATTGGTTCATCCACCCATTCACTCATCCATCCATCCATCTAGCTCACTGATCCATCCATCCATTCCATTGATTCATCCACCCATCCACTCATCCAGCATCCATTCATCTCGTTGATCCATTCATTAATTCATCTATGTGTCCATCCATCCCATTGATCCATCCATCCATCCATCCATCCATCCATCCATCCATCCATCCCATTCCCTCATCCATCCATTCACCCGTCCAGCCATCTATCTCACTGATCCATCCATTCCATTGATTCATCCACCCATCCACTCATCCAGCATCCATTCATCTTATTAGTCTATCCATCCATTCATTGATTCATCCATCCATCCATCCATCCCATTGATTCATCCATCTGTCGACCCATCCATCTACCCAGTCGTCCATTTAAGTAGTTATTTAACCATCCATCCATCCACCCATCCATCCATCCTTCCACCTACCCATCTCTCCAACCATCCAGCAAATTTTTCTCAAGCACCTATTATGTGGCTGCACTCTTCTACATGTCAGAGATAGAATGGGGAGAAAAGCTATCAGCATGGTGCCTGCTTTCATGGCATTTATATCTGGAAATTTGGTGGAAGGGGTTGTGTGTAGGAGACAGAGATAGGCGTTAGTCAAGTCACACACAAATACATATACAAGTCCCATTCTGAGAAGTGTCTGAAAGCAGTAATGGATGCTGTGACAGCTTTTCAATAGGAGAAAGGGACTCAGGAGGTCAGGGCAAGCTTTCCGGAAGAGGTGGCAGTTGAGCTGAGCTCTGAGTGACAAAGTCTATTTATGCAGGACACAGTATTTCACCCTTCCCTGAGAGTCTAGGGCATCCTCCATGCTCTGGGCTCTCCCTGTGACCTTTCTGTGTCCCCTGACTTGAGGCATCTCCCCGTGGCCTGGGATTGCCCCCTCCTTCTCTCCCCCGACCCACCTGTGATCCACGCAGCACTCAAGGTGCCTCTGCCATCTTGCCCCTTGAGCCCGCTGGCACCCCCAACTCACCCCCCGAGACCCAGAGGTGCACGGGGCCCTCATGTCCCCTCCCATGTCTCCTCTGCCTAGGATGAAGGATGGTGTGGAGCTGACCCGGGAGGAGTCCTTCAAGGCCCGGTTTCGCTTCAAGAAAGACGGGAAGCGCCACATTCTCATCTACTCGGACGTGACTCTGGAGGACAGGGGGCGCTATCAAGTCATGACCAATGGCGGCCAGTGTGAGGCCGAACTCATTGTGGAAGGTATGGGCCTCCGGGTGGGCTGGGAACCGCTGTGTGCATGCTTCTCCCGGCCGCTTGAAGACACTCCGGCCCCCAGTCTTGGTGTTGTCCCTGATTCTTCTGGCTCCCCGCACCCTGCTGCATTCAACCCCACCAGCATGTCTGGTGGCTCCGCCTTTAAGGTATATCCTGGCTGGGCATGGCGGCTCACACCTCTAATCCCAGCACTTTGGGAGGCTGAGTTGGGAGGGTTGCTTGAGCTCAAGAGTTCGAGACCAGCCTGAGCAACATAGTGAGACCTCATCTCAAAAACAAAATAAAATAAAATAAATGAATGAATAAAATTAATAAAGTGGCTGGGCTGGGTGGCTCAGCCTGTAATCCTGGCACTTTGGGAGGCCAAGGCTAGTGGATTGCCTGAGCCCGCGGGTTTGAGACCTGCCTGGACAACTTGGCAAGACCTCGTCTCTACAATAAATAAAAAATGAGCCAGGTGCCTGTAGTTCTAGTTAGTTGGAAGGCTAAGGCAGAAGGATCGCCGGAGCCCAGCAGGTCGAGGCTGTGGCGGCCGTGCCACTGCACTCCAGTCTGGGCAAGAGTGAGACTCCAACTCAAAAATAAAAAAAAGAAAAGAAATAAAGTATATCCTTCATCCGGTCACTCTCCCCCTGCCTTTGTTGCCCCCACCTGGCTCAGACCTTCATCACCTCGTGCCTGGACTGGTGCAGTAGTCTCCTTGCGGGTTGCTCTGTGGTGACGTCCGCCCTCCTCCAAACCCTCCTTGTAAAACATAATTCAGATGGTGAAACCTGAGTCGCTCTGAAGTCCAGTTAACAGCATGGGACCCTGAGCTTGGCACAGTGGCTCACACTTGTAGTCCCAGCTACTCAGGAGGCTGAGGCAGAAGGATCACTTGGGGCCAGGAGTTTGAGACCAGCGTGGGCAACTTAGCAAGACCTCGTCTCTACAAGAATTCGAAAAATTAGCCGGGTGTGGTGGTGCACTCCCGTCATCCCAGTACTCGGGAGGTTGAGGTGGGAGGATCGTCTGAACCCAGGAGGTTGGGGTTGTGGTGAGCCATGATTGTGCCACTGCACTCCAGCCTGGATGGCAGAGTGAGACTATCTCAAAAACAATTTTTTTTTTAATTTAAAAAATAAATAAATGCAAGTTTGAGTGTAAGATCTACCCTCTTCTCAACAACCTCTGCCTCACTCAGAGCAGCCCCAAGGCCAGGGATCTGGGCCCATTTATCGGCTCCTGTCTGCCTCAGCCCACCAAGACGGTCTCCCTCACCCAAGCCGGCCTCTTGCGACTCCTCAGGGCCTTTGTACTGGCTGTTCCCTCCTCCCAGGAGGCCCTCTGCACCCTCCAGTGGATCCTCCCTGCCTCCCTCAGGCCTCCTTGCTCCCTTTCGCTGTGTTTCCCTCCTCACTGTCTGTCTGTCTCCCTATGGCCAGCGGGCTGATCCCGGGAGGTTCGCGGCCGTGTCCTCCGCGGTGCTGGCATGCAGGGGCGCTCACAAGCATCTGTGGGCTGGCTGGGGTCGCGGCGGCCCATCTCCTTCCCTCCTCGCCCAGAGAAACAGCTGGAGGTCCTGCAGGACATCGCGGACCTGACAGTGAAGGCCTCGGAGCAGGCCGTGTTCAAGTGCGAGGTGTCTGACGAGAAGGTGACGGGCAAATGGTACAAGAACGGCGTCGAGGTGCGACCCAGCAAGAGGATCACCATCTCCCACGTGGGGAGGTGAGGTGTGGGCCACCGGGGTGGCTGGGCTGTGGCATGTGTATCAGTTAGCTACAGCTGCGTCACAAAGCACCCACACTTAGTGGTTTTAAAAAAGCAAGGATTGAGGCCGGGTGCGGTGGCTCACGCCTATAATCCCAGTACTTGGGGAGGCCGAGGCAGGAGGTTCGCTTGAGCCCAGGAGTTTGAGACTAGCCCGGGCCACATAACGAGACCTCACCTCTACAAAAAATTTTTAAAAATTAGCCAGGCATGGTGGTATGTGCCTGTAGTCACAGCTACTCAGGAGGCTGAGACAGGAGGAGTATCTGAGCCCAGGAGGTTGAGGCTACGGTGAGCCATGATCGTGCCACCGCACTGCAGCCTGGGTGACAGAGTGAGACCCTGACTCAAAGCAGGGACTGATTCTATCCTGCATCTGTGGTTGGTCAGGGGCTGCCTGATCTGGGGTGGCCCTGGGCATGTCTCTGCAGTCAGCTGACCCTGGGCCCTGCTGACCTCACCTGGGCTCTGTTGGGTCCACATGACATCTCCTCTTCCAGGTGACTTGGCCTGGCATGTTCACGTGGCAGAAGCAAAAGTCCTGAGGGCATGTGGGACACACAAGACCTCTGTGACCCCATGTCACTTCCGCCATGTTCTGTTGGGTGGAAAGTCACCCGACTGGGTGAAGTCATAGGCCAGCCCAGGGTTCGGGGGCAGGGAGCAGACTGCACCATGTGATGAGAGAGGTTTCAGGGTCTCATTCCAAGGGCCCAGTACACAGAGGGGGACACCTCTGGCCATATTTGCACAGGGTCTTCACGGGGGGCTCTGGCTAAGAACACAAAAGCTGGAATCCAGCAGGTGGCACGTGGGTGCCTGAGATAAGTCCCTGACTGTCTGCAGGGTGCGGGGCGCCGCCCTGGCGCCATAGAACGCTGTGCCCTCGTCGGCCTCTTGGCAATAGCCTTTGGCGAGATGGAGCCTCTCCCTGTGTTTTGTGTAGGGAACCGCACTGGCTGGTGCAGTCAGTCGTAACGCTTGTAGGGCATGGACTGTGTGCCAAGCACTTTTCTAGGTGCCTTGTGATGACCTGGATGTAGGTTGGTATCATTACCCTTCCTCGATCGATGAAGAAACAGAGGCACAGAGTGGTTAAGTAACTTGCCCAAGGCCACACAGCCACAAAGTGGGAATTGAACACAGCCCACAGCATTCTAAAGCCCCGTGACAAGACGGTGGCCACGTGGATTGCTCCGAGGAGGGTGTTTCCCCAGGTGGCACTGGGGGAGGCAGATGGGGACAGTCTGGTTCCGTGATGGTCCTGGGAGGACCTGGCCTGATCCTTGCCCTGCAACTTTCAGGTTCCACAAGCTGGTGATCGATGACGTCCGTCCCGAGGATGAGGGAGACTACACTTTCGTGCCTGATGGCTACGCTCTGTCACTCTCCGCCAAGCTCAACTTCCTGGGTGGGTACAGCCCTTCCTCCTCCCCTGGGGGTGGTGGGACCCCTCTGCCCCCGAGCCAGGGCCCCACACCGCCTATGGGATCAAATTAGGGAGGATGACAGCAAGTGTCTGTCGAGCTCGGGGATGGACCAGAAGATGGAGGGAGAGTTGTGTGCACCCGGGCGTCCACGGGCAAAGGGGGCCCATGGCTGGAACCTGGTCCCAGTACCTCACTTCCCAGGGGACAGCCAGGCCTCGCCTCTGCCTCTGAGCTGTGAAGATGGAATGAGGGGCCCCTGGGTGGAGACCTCACATCGGTCTTTGTCTTCTAGAAATCAAGGTGGAATATGTCCCCAAGCAAGGTAGGCGCCGAGGGCTTGGGTCAGCTGGGGCCTCACGCGTGGGTCTGAGGGAGGAGGTGCTGGGGTCTGATCTGGTCTGAGGGAGGAGGGGCTGGGGTCTGATCTGGTCTGAGGGAGGAGGGGCTGGGGTCTGATCTGGTCTGAGGGAGGAGGGGCTGGGGTCTGATCTGGTCTGAGGGAGGAGGGGCTGGGGTCTGATCTGGTCTGAGGGAGGAGGGGCTGGGGTCTGATCTGGTCTGAGGGAGGAGGGGCTGGGGTCTGATCTGGTCTGAGGGAGGAGGGGCTGGGGTCTGATCTGGTCTGAGGGAGGAGGGGCTGGGGCCTGGACCCCAGGTCTGTATTGCTGTTGGAGCCCCCTTCTCCGAGACCCTCTTGTGGTACTGGGGGGGGCCAGCCTCCCACCGCCAAGGTCCCCAGCATCTCTTCTGTGCCACCAGAGCCCCCCAAGATCCACTTGGACTGCTCGGGGAAGACCTCCGAGAATTCGATTGTGGTCGTGGCTGGAAACAAGCTGAGGCTGGACGTGGCCATCACTGGGGAGCCCCCTCCCGTGGCCACCTGGCTGAAGGAGGATGCAGTAAGTTGGGGCTTCCAGGCCCTGAGTGCCTCTCCCTCTCGGCTGCTGGGGGACTTTCTTTTTTTTTTCCTCTCTTAGAGATGAGGTCTCGCCAAGTTGCCCAGGCTGGTCTTGAACCCCTGGGCTCAGGCGATCCTCTCACCTCCGCCTCCCAAAGTGCTGGGATTACAGGTATCAGCCACTGTACCCTGCTTGCTGGGGGACTTTAGGCAAGTAGCTTTCCCTCTTTGAGTCACAGTTTCATCCTCTATAAAAACTGGAGGTTACATGCATTCGTCTGGGGTTGTAGCCTCAACATGTCAACCACTGTCCACTAATCCGCTCATCCCTCTGTTGATGAATCAATTGATTGATCGTGCAGCCTTCCAGCAGTCCTGTAACTCATCCAGCCGTGTTTCATTCAATTAATTGGTTCATTAATTCATCAGCTATCGACCATTCAGTCATTAATCCATGTGTCCATTTGCCCATCACCCAGTCCAGCTTTCCATTCATTCAGAAATATGTCTGCCTGTTTATTGAGATATTCATATATCTACCCGGCCATGCAATCAACAAATATGTTACCCCAGTGTGTTCCCAGCTGGGGGCCGGTCAATTTCTCGTCCTTCCTCTATGCTTGTTTTTTTTTTGAGTTGGAGTCTCACTCTGTCGCCCAGACTGGAGTGCAGCGGCCGCTCCCGGCCACCGCAGCCTCGACCTGCTGGGCTCCGGCGATCCTTCTGCCTCAGCCTTCCGAGTAGCCGGAATTACAGGCATGGGCCACCATGCCTGGCTAATTTTTGATTTATTGTAGAGATGAGGTCTTGCTGCCCAGGCGGGTCTCGAACCCGCAGGCTCAGGCAATCCACTCACCTCAGCCTCCCAAAGGCGCGGGATTACAGGCTGAGCCACCGAGCCCGGCCCGG